CATTGGATTACATATAACTTTACAGTGTATTACATTGCTTTTTCAAAAGGGAATGCCATGCAAGTCAGTCAGTACAAAGACATTAATCTCTCCGCTTCAACATTCAATATCTTTTCTATGTTTTCCCCAATTATTATTATTATTATTATTATTATTATTATTATTATTATTATTATTATTATTATTATTATTATTATTATTATTATTATTATTATTATTATTATTATTATAACATCATAACTAGTAAAGGAAGGACTACCCCTGTTTTAATACCACCTCTGGGAAGTATTTGTTGTGTGACTTTGAGCAAGTTACTTAACTTTGCCATACTTTGGTTTCCTTATCTATGAAACAAAGACAATAAAGGTATTCACTTCATAGGGTCGTTATAAAGATTAAGGAAGATAAGGTACGTGCAGTGCCTGACACCTGAGTGTTCGTTGTTAGCTATTATTTATTTGTAATGTTTTTTTTTTTTAGGCATCTTACTAGGAATTTGCTTTCACCATAGCTAGGAGAATAAAGGTATCTAGATACTGAAAAGTTCCCATGGTACCCAGAAATCACTAGAAGTTCTTAAAATAAGTTTCTATGAGTAAAATGGGTCCACTACCTACATTCATTGTAGGTAGTGCTGATGTTTAACTCATTCCATAGATACCACCTCATCTATGTTTCAGCTAGTGTCCATTCTGATTGGTTGCACCATCGGCTCTGAATTGTTGCATCATCATTCTGATTAGTCGCAACATCCGTTGTGATTGGTTACTGCTTTTAATGTCCTGGTTGTTAAATATATCTACCCCTGAATAAAGGAACAGAAATAATTCCCTTCTCAGTCACTGCCACCTGTGCAAAGTGTAGCTTTTGTGTGTTGTATTGCTCTTCATATTATTGTTAGAATCTTATGTTTATTTTACTCGAGGAGAAAACTTTAAGTATATCTTCATGTGTTGCAAACATCATCAATGTGCCTGAAATAACTAGGATCCTTAGAACTGGGAATACATTGAAATAGTCTTTATTAATATTTATTTCATAGTGAAGAGCCCCGAAACTTCATTTCCACTTTTGGAAGATATGCAGCCAAACTCGAAGAAACAAAGATTTTGATAAACTTTATTGCACTTTTTCTGTGCTTAAAATTCAGGTGGCAACAAAATGTAGTTAATTATTTTGAAGATATCTAATTGTGAAAAGTGACTGCATTTTCTGATGCACTTCAACAAATATATTGCTGTAGAGGTGGCGTCTTAACTAGTTATTGATGACATTCATAGGTGAATTAAAATTTGCTTGCTTTAAAAAGAAACAGTTTAATAACCAGATCCCAGGAAACACTGAAATACAATAAGTAGGACTTCACTGAGAATATTTGCCTCTATCATTCTCAGTAACTTTTATTAATAATCTGTTATAGTCCCTCTTCCTTTTTCTCATTCTATTTTTCTTCCTTGGTCTTCTATCCTTATTCTCTATAAATAAATTGAGCCAAATTGTACAGCATATAATAGAAATATGAAGAATAAAGTTATTTGATGAAGACATCAAATTGTTTGACAAGGAATGTACAATTTTATCTCTAAATATTTTGAGACTAGTAGAAAAAAAGGCTTTTATAGATTTTTATAGGAAAAAAATATTTTTGCTATAGGGTTCATGTGCTCACCCGAGAGATAGAGAGACAGAAAACAAGAAATCACCCCCCCAGGGGGGATAGCCACGCTGCCATCCATTATTCTCCATTCTCCTCTTGGGATCTTGGGCACACACACACATGCGCCTGGTGTGAGTTTTAAGCCACCCTGTCTGGGACTCAAACCACGGTTGACTACATGAGTGTCCAATGATGTAACCATTACGCCACCTGCTGGTCCCAGAAAAAAAATATTTTTAAAGCTATGTCTAATTCTTTTCTTTAGCAACAACAGTGGCTAATATTGTTTGACTATTCTACAGTAACTGCATTAGATAGGCTGTCTCACGTTTTCTGAGCTCCCAAGGTATGAGCTCCATGCAGATGACTCAGGTTTTACCACTCTTAACAGTTTCATGTATTGAGAGGTCATGCCAAAGTGGTAGCATGCTATTAAGAATGCATGCTGTTGAATCATACATCCAGAGTTCAAATCTTGGTTACATCAAATATCTTGACACCAGTGTCGAGTTATAGTGTCACTTCAGAGAAGGTGTTTCCATAAATTAGTCAAGTTTCTTCTTTGACAAAACAGAAATACTATTAACTACCTCAAAAGATTGTTATAAGGATTGAAAAAGCTAATTTTATGAAGTTCAGGGCAGCTTAACTATAGTCCAGTAGGTGTGCATGACAATTATATTCTGTAAATACATTTAAAAATCACCTGCTTTATACTAGATACTATTCTGGACTCTAGGGGAAAGGCAGGATGATATAAAAGAAACAAGGACTCCTCAGATTTCCTGGTATAGAATTTAGGATGCATGCTTACTCAGGAAAGAAAAAGAGAAGGAGAGAGAAAAACCATTCCTCAGTGGGAACTGGTCATATCAGAGTCCACTTTTCTTCCATTTCTCCATCCTGTCAGGATCCTGGGCACCTGCAGAGTGCCTGTCATGTTTTTCAAGCCACTAAGTCGGGATGTGAACTGAGGGATCAGCAGATGGTGTAGCAGTTACGTCGCTGGACTCCCAAATGGTTGAGCACTGTTCGAGCGGTCCCAGACCTGGTAGCTTAAAACTCACTCTGGGTACATGTGCTTGTGTGCCCAAAATTCTGAGAGGAGACTGGAGGAAAAGGGATTATGGCATAGTCATCCCTCCTGGGGGGGGGGGTGATTTCTCACCTTCTGTCTCTCTCTCTTTCTTGTGAGCACTCTGTATAGCCAAAATCTCTCTTAAAAGAAAGAAAAGAAAATCACACCAGGCACATGTCCATGTTTGCCCAAGATCCCTAGAGGAGAAGGAATTATACGTGGCCATCTCCCTTGAGGGGTGATTTCTTGCTTTTCCTCTAACTGTCTCTTTCTCTCTCCAGCAAACACATGTCCCCATGGCAAAAACCTCTTTTAAAAAATGTTCAAAAACAGAAGTTCTGAACTGGGAGTGCTGACGGTATAGTTTCATTCTGAGTCCTGAGAACCGGAAGAGGAATGGTTTAAGTTCTGATCTGGTCTGAAGGCCAAAGACAAGAGAAAATTGATATCTCAGGTTGAAGGCAGGCATAGAGTAAATTCTTTACTCAACCTTATTTATTTATTTATTTTTTGAGAGGTTTTTGCTATAGGATGCGTGTGCTCATTGGAAAGACAGAGATAGAGAGACAGAAAATGAGAAATCACCCCCCAGGGAGGATGGTCACGCCGCAATCCCATCTCTTTCATTCTCCTCTCGGGATCTTGGGCACGCATGCACATGTGCCCAGCATGAGTTTAAGCCACTGGGTCCGGGACTCAAACTGGACTACATAGGAGTACAGCGACGTAGCCATTATGCTATCTGCTGGTCCCACTCAACTTTTTATTCTATTCTTACCTTTAATGGATTAGATGAGCCCATCCACATTTGAAAAAACAATCTGCTTTACTCAGTCTATTGATTCAAATGTTAAGCTCATCCAGAAACACCCTTATATAAACATCCAGAAATAATACTACACCAATTATCTTGGCACCAGTGTCAAGTTATAGTATGTCAGTTTAGTTGACACATATGATTAAACATCTCAGGGATATGTATAAAATTGGCTCTAGCCCCCTTTCCCACATGTCTGTGAGTTTCATAGCTAATTGTGGCTCCATCTTCCTATTCCTGTTGAACAGCACTTCTCCCCTTGCATTTCATCATGTGTGGGTGTTTCTTACTCTGTTTTTGCGGGACAAGACAGAAAACTTAGTCCTTTATCTTTGATATCTTCTAAAACATCGACACAAGAAATGTAGGTGAATACCAGATCTTATTACATCGATAAACTTTGGTGCTAGCTATTACAGTAAGTGTTTTTGCCATGATACAGAGGTTAAATTGATATTTTGTGTGAGTCTAGAGGGGAAAAGTAATTAATTATGGATTACATAGAAATGGAAATGGTTTCACAAAAGAGGTAACATCGGTGCTTGGCTTTGAAATGTGAAAAGGATTTTAACATTATAAAATATAGGTCCACTACATTTGAGCGGTTCCGCATGAATCACAAAATCACCGTCAGATTTTGCTAATCGGTCAAAAGGAAATGGAAGCCAAATAAATTTTTTAAAGAATTATAAAGATTACAAAGAAGGAACTGACCTAGAAAGTAAGTAAATTCAAGTGTGGGAATCATTGGGTTTATTGTTTCCTTTCATGTTTGTTTGAGTAGTTTGTCCTTTGAGATGAAGAAAACAGAATGAAAGAGT